TTATATTCATGTAACTTTAAAAGATAAAAGAAGACAAATATAAAAGTTGAGAAGCAATTTTAAAGCAATAATGTGGCTTGTATGATAACCAATTTTTTTGTTTCATTTTTTATGTCCTTGGAGCTTTCAAAAATGTGTCACATATATTTTATACTGTTTTTCACTCAAATATATTATTTTCTTTTAATAGGCTTAATATAGATATGATGACCCTCTTACTAAAACAGAAATATGTCCAAAACTAATACACCTTAATAGACTATATCCAATGCAAATGCAGAAAGCATATAATAAATAAAAGGATAAGAAAATAGGTTGCCTCCCAATAAGCGTTTAATTTAAAGTTGTTAGCTAGAATCAGCACCATAATTCCTTATGGTGGTTCAAATAGAAAATTTTCAGCCTTACACTGCTTGTGATTTCCAGCCTTAAATCATTTTTTTGCTTTCCAAACTTTGAATTCTTTGTTTTCATCTCTACCCAAAAATCCACTAAAATTTGATTTTCTATTCTGATAGCTTCGTTGATCAAGGGCTCTTCTTCATAAAATTCTACATAATCTTTGATGTTGGAAGGTTGCTCAAGTGGGTGTAAATATTGAGTATTTCTTATTTGTCCTTCATCTTCAATATTAGCTCACCATTCTCTATGTCAATCAGGGTTTAACCCGTTGCTAAGAATGGTCAGTCCAAAATAATTAGAATATTTCTATCTTTTTATGTCCAGCACTATGAAATCGAATGGGAATATTAGATTTCCTGCTTTTATGAGTACACCCTCGACTTTGTCTCGTGGTCGTGAAAGTGTTTAATCAGTAAGATGTAGCGTTATTAAAGTTGATTTAACTTTACTCAATCCAAATTTTCTGTAAATAGAATATGGCATGGGATTTACATTAGCACCTATATCACACAAAGACTAATAGAACAAGAACTTCAATTGAAATTGGAAAAGAACTTCCTAAATCTTTTAATTTCGGAGGTAAATTATTTTGTAGTCTTGCACTATTTTTCTCTGTCAGTGCCACAATTTCAAACTCTAAAAGCTTTTTTTCTTTGTCAACATATCCTTCGAACACTTTAAATAGCTTGAAATTTGTAACATCGCATCAATAAAAGGGACATTGATGTGGAGCTTCTTAAAAACTTCCAAACAAATCTCAAAGTTTGTATCCTTTTTGTTCTTCTTAAGCCTTTGCCTTTATAGAAAAGGAATAAGAGGCACATAAGCCTTGACTAGATTTGGTGCCTTGATTATGGATCTCCCTGTACTTTCTTCATTCTTGATTGATGTTGAAGCAGATTTTTTTTCCCTTATAGCTTCATCAACATTTTTTCACACATCTTCTCTTTTTGGTCTTTTTGCAGCAAACTTTGGAGATTGTACCTCACTCCTCGTAGTTATAACATGGATATTTCCTCCATCGGTTTGGGAGAAGAAGTGGATGAACATATGCTTTAATTTTTACATGAGTCCTTGGTGTATCATTTTTTACTACTCTTATTGTCGTCACCTACTCATTAGGATTTGTCTTTTGTATTGCTTGAAAATGATCATTTTGGATGTCCTACAAGTTTTGAGCTATCTGACTAATTTGTGACTTCTTGATAGATGCTTGCTAATTTTAAAAATTAGTATCAATTTACTGGAATACTTTGCTATTTTTTGTAATATTGATGAAACATCTCCCCCAAGTTGGGTCTTCTCTCTTGTCAAAAATTATTTCCATGTGTTAAAATTGTGGGAACCGTTTTAAATAATGTTTACTTGTTCCTATAAAGAAGCAAGCATCAAATAATTTTTTGCAGTGTAATTTCTTCCACAATTTTCACATGCTGAATTAACTATCACTGCATTTGCTTCACGTGTTTACAATTTTACTAGTAACTCCAACTATTTTTAAAAGTAGTAATCTGTGCATTAGTAGATGCCGTGTTATCTAGTTTATAAATTTTGGCTATCTTGTTTGCTACCACTTTCTCTGATGAAAACATTGAATGTATAGAGGTAATTAACTTGAACAAGTTTAGGCATTGTTGACCTGATTTACTAATGACTGATTCATTTGTAGAGAAATCCACACGAGATTTAGCTAGTCGTGAAAGTCCATGTAGAAATATTGCACTTGATTACATTTGCTGATTCTATGATTTGGGCACTTTCTCATCATTTCTTTAAATCTGTCCAATACCTCATGATAATTCTCTCCATCACATTGTTGGAAGTTTGAATTTCCAATCGAATTTTTGCTACCTTTGCAAGTGGGAAGAATTTATTACAAAATTTTCTTGTCAGTTCCTTCCATGTAGTAATACTTCCATGAGGATCAGCATCTACTACTCTAAAATTGCATCCTCAATGTATAATGAAAAACGCAGCTTGATGTTTTAATTAACTCCTAAAGCATGAAAACTTTGTCAATTTCTGAGAAAGTGGGAGATATTTGTGCTCAGGTTTTCATTAGCTAACTTGTAGAATTGGAGTGTTGCTAGTCAAGTTGACCCAATCCAGCTTTATTAGAAAATTATTCACCCCGAAATCTAGATAAACAATGCTGAGATGGGCGGGCGCTGTTATAGGCGTCAAGAACATTAAGATTGACAAGTCTCCTTTATTTATCTTTATTTGCTCATTTTGCTAATTTTGTGGCACCTTAGTCTAGCGGTTACTTTTCCAATTGGCTGTATCGAAATGCTTTAATCGTCAGCCATTTGATTTTTCTATTTTTTACTGTGTTCTTTAAATTTGCGTCTGAATGTACATTCTATTTTTGGATCAAACGACTCTAGATTGTCGCATTGGGAATGGAGCACACAATGAACACCTTTTTATCTATAAATAAGAAAAATAACTAATCAAATAACAGTTAAAAATAAATTCAGACTAGATGTAAATAGTCTCCGACAATGATGCCAAAAATTTGTTGCATTTTTCTATTGCAAGTGTACGTTATCGTAACAAGTAATATAATGAAAATTTGAGTTTGGATCATCATTCCCATGAAAACTATAATTAAATACTTAATTTACTATTTCTAACTTTTATTTGACGAATGAAAATAAATATGTTTTTTGTGATTGTTTATCTAACTACTTCTAACAATTTGAAAGTATCTAAATGCACACAAAAATTGAATTAGGGTTTCAAATATTTAATGAAAATTAGGGCTCACAATTTCATCTATTGATTACATTTGATCCTTAAATCAAGATTCACCAATCAATCTAATATAGTGATCGATCGAATTCTTCTATCATATTCAATTTACCCTTAGCATTCTCAAATCTTCATCGTGAGGTTCGATACAACTTTTGAGCATTTACACTTTAGTACCCAAATTTTGGATCCTGCCACTTTTCACTTATTTATTTCAATTTCACTTCCATTCATCAAGTTTCACTTAATAGATAAAATATACAACAAGTTATGCTATAATTATTTAAGATAACTATTAAATGTCTATATTTTTAAGTCTAAATAAGTGTATAAAATACACACTATTAGATCCCATGTATTGAGTCGATACTAAAAGTTCTGAGTGTCAGGATAAGATCATAATCGAGATCAAATGAGTGAGTTCTTGATCATGCCCATTTTTGATCTCAAAGAGTAGGGTTGGCCTCCTATGCGTCATGATTGGGTCTTTGTCATTTACAAAAAAATCATGCCTTCCAAATTCAAAGTATCAATGAAAACACGTGTTACTCGCGTATTGTCCAAATAATTAATATAGAAGACAATCATGCTCTAGATATCTTTTGTTTTTGTTCGAGATTGATTGTGTTGTTCATCATTTGACTCCTAACATAAGTATGTCAAATATCGTGATTTGTAATTGTCTATATATGTCTTACAACTCTTCCATTTCTTTTCTTATTCATTATTTTTGTTAAGAGCACTTTCAGTAGATATTGAATCTCAAATAATAAACTCTTGAAGGGATAGAAAAGTGTGTTTCTTGTTATTGCAAAGGTCGAGGAATTCATTTGGACCGTTTCAACACTATGTTTGGTTTTCATGAAGCCCTTGTTTGGGATCCATTAGGATCAAAATGCATTTTTCAATCTCTTATTTTTTTAACTATACATTCTCTAATAAAATAATATTATATATAAATTCAAAACAATTCTTCCTTTTTTAATCACACATTATTCAAAAAATCACTATTTTAAAATATATTTCCTCCCAAAATTTGATTTTAATGGAGCCCAAACAAGGGCTAAAAGTTTTTTCTGAGTGTCTTGTAATAGTAATAGTAATAAATTCTATGAAATTTGTCAATAATAATAGAATAGTTATTCTGAATATGTGTGAAAATTTTAAATTTGACTTATATGTAGCTTTTAATTAACCCAAGCATAGGCCAAGTTTCGTATGCTATATGTATATTAAGCCCATGTATGATGGTCATTATTTTGAGAGAATGCAGTGTTGAACAGTAATTTTTTGGGAAATGTGTGATTAAAAAGTAAAAAAATTTGGATTTATGTACAAAATGTTTTATTGTTTAAATGAGTGGTTAAAAATGAGTATGAAAATCAAAGAGTTTTAAAAAAATATTGTCAAAAGTGGACTAAATTATTAACTACTTATGAATTTAGTTGAAAACCGTATAAACTTATGCTTGGCCCCTCATTTTTCTTAGTTCAAAAACTCATTTTTTTGAAAATTTATCTTTAATTATATTTTCTCTCATAAAATAATTCTACATATAAATCGAAATTTTTTCTTTATTTTTTATTCATACTTTCTATTAAAGATTCAAAAATTACTATTTGAAAATTTTTTATTTTTCTTACAAAAATGGGATCAAGTTTTAGGTCTTAAATAAAGAAGCCTAAAAAGCGTCTCCTACAAGGATCAACAAAACGGCAACGTTTTGCAGGACGAACAGTGACAACTAAGCAAGGGCATACATGTAAATTCACAAGTGTAGATTCAATTTACCACGACATATAAATTAACAGCGCACATAATCAGTCACTACACTTGCAAAAGACAATCCCAAATTTTTCTATTTTCTTTTCCCCGCCATTTGTTCCTCTCTCTTTAGGGCTAAATTACATCCCCAAAACCTAACCCCCAATTCTCTCATTTTTACTTCAAATGATTGTTTTATATATATCACAAAGCTGAATTATTCGGTTAAATTGTTTCTAAGATGTCGATTCCGAGTAGCAGCGGGAGCGGGGGAGGGGTACCGAAGGGAATAAGCTTAACTAATACAGTCCACTGCGAAGTGGCTACATGCTTGCCTCTACCGTGTCTCCCGGTGCTTTGTGGTGCGCTTGATGAGGATCTCCGGTTGTTCGAGCAGCAGAGCGGTTCGAGAACGTTTGCTAATTCCAGTGATGTTGCTGGAAAGATTGCTGATCTGCTCCGCATCACTGACGTGTCTTATTTGTGAGTTTTTAATTATTTATGTTTTAAGTAGTGAAACCTAGTGAATTTTGCTTTGGGATTTGAATTGGAGTCCATTATTTGCGGAATTGAGCTTTGAAGTTGGGAAGTTTGTTTTTAGATGAATTTTTGTGTTTTGGAATAATTTGGGGATGGAATTTTTTTAAGTGGTTAAATTTTGTTCGAGGGTTTTAGGAATTGGAGTCTATTAATGCGGAGTTGAGCTTTGAAGTTGGGAAAGCTTGTTTTTAGATGAATTTTTGTGTTTTGGAGTAATGTGTGGATGGTATTTTAGGTAAGTGCTTAAATTTTAATTTTTGGGAGTTGTGGTTTTCGTTGTGGGAGCCTATTACTTATATTTCTCATTGTTTTTGTTCAAGCACAGACATTATAGACAATTATAGATAGTTTTTTTCTTGCTTAAGATCATACTATAGAATTGGAACAGGGGGAACTTAATTCAAATTTGAATGTACTCCAATCCCATTTCCAAAATCTAATTTCTTTTGAATAAATCTCAGTTAAGGATTCCTTTAATGATTTTAGTTCATTTGAATTCTGCATTGTGTGAATAAATTTTTTATTAAGATTTTCTACATTGGATCTTCTTTGTCTATGTCCTTTACAAAAATATAGTTGTTGACTTAAGAGTTGAAAGCCCTAGTTTGATATGTTGACTAGAATGAGCATCTCTGTCTGTTCTACCTTCATATAAGAGTTGAAAGATGATAAAGCTGTCATTAAGATCACCAAGTGGCGAATATCAGCTAGACACGTATTTTAGGGATTTTTGTCCTTTTTATAGGATTGAGAATCAAGGAATAGAAATTGTTGTTCAATTTTTCTACTTATCAAGCAGATCAATTTCTTCTCTAAAGAAATGTGTATAAAGTTAGAAAGTAATGGATGGAGTCAGTGGACACGTGGCAGGATGAAAGGCCGTCATCCTTGGGTGTTAGTCAAAATACCACGTGCAATTCAGAAGAAAGTGTGACCCACATGTCATTTCTGTGATGCCCGATTGGGATTGGGAAGATAAAGTGGTTCCTACAATTTCTGATATCTATAGAATATAATTTTCCTTTTAGTTTGGCAGTTTCTATCCTCTAATCAACAACATGAAAGGAGTTGCAAGATTAATTTAAAGTTTCTTGGATGGAACTCAATAGCCAAACATCGAATATTATGAGAAATATGCATGGCATCTGATCATAGCTCTATAAATTCATGTTAATGAACTTCTTGAAGATTTGATTCTAATTGTAGTCAAATTAGAATTTAGAGTTCCGATCAGAAATAGACGAATAGTGTTTGCGAGGGAGGTTATTTATGTTATGCCAGACAGCTTTTTGGATCAGAAAGATGCCTTAATTATCACATTCTCCGGAATAAAGAAATAAATTAATTGTCCAAACAATTTGATGAAATTTCTTGTTAAAATTATGATTCCTGTTCATTAAATCCTAAAAACAGATGATTCTTGTATAATTAATAATCTCTAATTTCATGGATCTTTTAGGAACAAACCTCACACAGCTACTTCCAGATTAATATGATAATACAAGTATGTAATAAACAAAGTATTAGAAAATCTTAATTCCATCTATTATAATACAGGGAAACATTAAGAGGTGCATAACATATTCCGAGGCTATATTTTATATTTATCTAGAATTAATATACAAATTCTGAATTTGGTTTAAACATAGTTCTCATACATATTTTTTTTCTTCTTATTATTAATGACTAAATTTCGTACACAAATTTTTAGTAAAAAACAGACACGAAAAAATATCGTGTTGAAAAAAAATTGATTTTGACCATTAGAAGTATGCCAAGAATCTGTAGTTATATTGTTAAAAGTCTGAATTTTTTATTACCACTATTATAGTTACTGCTGTTATAGTGTAGACTGCATTGTAATAATACTCTTGTAGCAAATAAATACAAAATGAGAGTAAATTGTAAGAGTTCCTGTAAATAAAATTTTATTGCTAAATCACTTTGGGACAGATTCTTCACGCAACAAATAATTTCAGAAACTAAATTTTCACTGAGAGCCTGCTGTGTTACTTTAATTTTCAAAATGGGAATGGCTTGTGAAAAGGTATTTATCCTTTTTATCCCAAAATCCTGCTCTGAATTGCTGTTGTTTGGCTTACAAGGTTTTATCTGTAGGAATCTCAAAAATGAAGTAAGTGATCAACTGTGTGGCTCCGTGGGGAAATTTAACCTTTATGACGAAGTTTTGAGATGTGACCCTGTAGCATTCGAGTATATTGCACCAGGTAAAATGTTTCATTGGGCTTGCCAGTTCTTTGTGTGTGTGTGTTTATCATGTCTCAACTTTGTACATTTTTTGCTGACATTGGAAGTTCTTTCTTTCTAAAAGAATATTCTTTTTCTTTTTCC